TGTATGGGATGAACTCGATTAAAAAAAAATAACCCAAAAAGGGGTTGATAAACCGAAAAAAGAAACCAGAATCGCATTTAAGCGTCAGTCACAAAGTATTGATTTCTCAGTATTGCAATATCGTGTGTGTGTGTGTGTGTGTGTGTGTGTGTGTGTGTGTGTGTGTGTGTGAGAGAGAGAGAGAGAGAGAGAGGGAGAGATTCAAGTTTTTAAGGCCGGTGAATTGTTCTGTCTCGTGTTACGGTTGGTGTCCTCTAAAAACAGACTTAACTTTAAATACAGAGACAGTTTACTTTTGTTTCAGAGTTGACATGCCGCGTAAATTTGAACTTGGGGGGCGGATAAAATTCCAAATAAACGCCTTTAAAAGATGATACGTCTGCAGATCTCAGTAACTTTCAGAAATCTTATTGCTTCAAAAAAAATATACCTCCTTGTGTTAAGTGAACTCCTGCCCTATACACACTTTTTACTCGTGAAACATGAGAAATATTTAAGTATAATGAAAACTGTAGTAGATATCAGACTAAATGGATCGACCCACTGTTTCTCACTTGAATCGTTACGTTTTAGGTATCAAGAGAGAAACCCGTACTCTTGTATCACGAAGAGATTCGAAACGATTATTAAACTTTGTTGGAATTATTTCGCTACGTTTAATAATGCTACCCACAAAAAAAACCCGCTTGTAAAAAGACGTTTTTTTTTCTCTCTCTCTCGTCACCACTATTACTGTAGGCTCCCTCGATAATTTTTATTGTTTTAAAAAGCTATCTTTAGAATTTTAATAAACCCCAGCAACATGAAATTGGATTTATGCGTTCTCTTTTGTCTCAAGAATTGATAACAAAAGATTTAAACACCATTTTGTTTGCTTCATTATGTACAAAAAACTGCGGTTTCTTGGTCTCACGTTAACAACTGACTTGAAGTGGAGCGACTCCATCAAATCGATAGCTGCATCTATTGCAAGGAAAGTTGGGTCACTGTGTTGTGCCCGAGTTCCACTTGCACATCTAAAAATTTACCTTTCGTCCATGCATTGAATACTGCTGCCATATCTGGTCTGGTACTCCTGCTATTTATCTTGTGGTTCTTGACAAGATTATTCTACGGATCTTGTCAAGAACCATAAGATAGCGACTTCAGTTACTTTCTCGCCGACGTGACATGTCTTCCTTTTGTCTTCTCTAGAAATATTTTCATGGCAATTGCTCGGACGATCTTTTTTCCCTGGTGCCCCGACTACGTGAATTTAAGCGTGCTACTAGATTATCATCTTGGTCCCACCCGAAATAGATAAATGCAACCGCCACTTCTACCCCAACAGTTTCTTTTCTCGCACTTCCCGCCTGTGGAAATCCCTTCTGTTTACTTGCTTCCCTGATAAATCTTCAAAAATTTAAATGCAACGTCAAACGCCATTTTCTTTCTTCTTGAATGCCGTTCATCTTCAGTCCTCCTTATTCTCAATCTTTTCTCTCACTTTTCACCCCCCCCCCCGTAACCGTACTAGTGGTATTGATATAAATAGATAAGCATGAAAACAATTTTTTATTCATAAATTTATAAAAATGTCTGAAAAAAAAGAACAAGAACAATTAAATAAGTACACAACTACGAGTAACTGTAATTCTAAATTTGGAAAAATGCATTTTCAGGGAAATTTTTATTTGTTCTCCTCTCACATAAATTCACGAAAGTAATTTGTAAACATCTGGATTTACACATTTTTTTTTCTCGAGAAATGACAACAAAATGTTAAACAGCATTTATTTGCAAAAATAATGTTTCATACATTTTGTCAATTCTCGATATTGTATTATTTTGTTCTACGAAGCCGACTTATTTTTGTAGTTTCTGAAATTTCGACGAAAGTCAATTTCTCCAACTGTTTGTGATATGCCATCTCAGAGATAACCATTATAGCTTCCGTCCTGGGCATGACCATAAACTACATCCGCGTCCTGGGTAAGACGATAAACTACGTCCAACAACAAGGCCTCTGATCAGGTTTTGAGAAGTGTGGAACCACCTCTTAATTGCTAGTGTTCCCAGATCTACCCTGGCCCGGGGTGGTAGCACCTGTTAGGGTCCTAGCTATGGGCAAACTTGTGTAAAAATAGGTTTTAATACCAGAAATACTTCGTAATAAAAAAAATTATTACCAGCAATAATTTTTGAAGGAAAAATTATCAGCAATACTTAAAAAAAACAAAAAACAAAAAAAAAACTGTACCAGCAATACAAACAGTTATACATTCTTTGAAAAAAAAATATGACCAGCTATAGGTTTCTCCAAGGAAAAATATTCCGAGAAATAGATTTTTGAAGAAAAACATATAACCAGCAATAAAACTTTTGACGGCATTAAATAACCCATTGAGGTTGATATGCCGTAAAATAAAATAAGCTATACTAAAATAAACCAAAGAATATTTAATTTATTCATACGAACTAATCCTAAAAATCTTGTCGGCATTAAATAACCCATTCAGGTTGATATGCCGTAAAATAAAATAAACCAGACCATTATAGTGCCACAACCTGTTGAAACTAGAAAGAACTGTTATTTCATTTTCTCTTCCTCTTGCCTGGTTGTCTTTCAATTTTTTAGCTCTAACCTGGGCTGTAAAACACCGAATCCAAGTCTCAACAAATTCTGGTTCATCCAAGAGACTTAAACATCCTATCGGCGACGCCATACTCGAGAAGAAGAAAAAAGAATCTATAAATCTAGTTTCATCTCGTTGCTTCCTGCTTTCCTGTCTGCTGGAAGTCATCGTCTGTTGTTCCAATTTATAAGAACTCTGGTAACCCGTCCGACCCTTCCAACTATCGGCTTATTAGGCGTCTGCCTCTTTTGGGAAAACTCCTAGAGGCTCTAATAAATGTTGAATTAGTTCATCATCTCTCATCGCAAGGCCTTTTCTCAGACAAGCAATATGGCTTTCGTTTCTCCTGGTCAACTGCTGATGTACTGACGATAACTGCGGAAAGAGTCTATCATGTTCGAGATAAAAACGATGAAGCCTGATTTGTAGCATTGGACATCTCGAAAGCGCTTGACTGGGTCTAGCATTCAGGTCTTCTCCACAAGCTGAAAACATGTTTGAGATAATCCATACTTTCCTGTCAAAATGTGAAATGAAAGTTATCCTGTGCGGCCACTCGTCTAGTTCCTTTCGTCCTAACGCAGGTTTTCATCGTTGGTCCTACGATGTTTTTAATTTTCATTAACGACCTTCCCGGTGACATCACCTTTCAACTTGACATCTACGCTGACGACACTACCATGTTGTCAGCGTAGATGTCAAGTTGAAAGGTGATATCACGGCTCTGACCGGCTCTGACCACCTTTAACCAGCTATGACAAGCCAAGACCAGCTATGGCTAGCTTAGACCACCCCTGACCAGCTAAGACCAGTTTGGATCAGCGGCCCGAGTGAAAACACTCGGGTCTCCACGTTAAAAATTGACCTTGTGTCACAACCTGACTCAGTGGTGGGGGTCAAGTAAATGGTCTGTGCCTCGGTAAGAAGCCTGATCAGTCCGACAAAATTCTAAAAATAGCTTTTTGAAACAATAAAAAATATCAAGGCCCTTTTTTTTATTTACAGCGTATTTGCTCTGTACAAAGCCCGGGAGACACTCGAGGTAGAGGTTTGCAGAGTAAGAGGTACAGTTTATGCCGATAGGTGAGGAAGATAACGGTTAACCCTATACTTGAACAGATTAAGATTGTAGGGATCGGGGAAACATCCTCTTGAGATTCGGTTCCGCAGAGGCATGTAAGTGGCATGGCGGGTCCTAGCCGTAAAAGTCAACTGTGATCATAATAGGTGAGTCAAGAGAAAAACCGCCCGTTTGACACACCATTTTTAGTGTGTATGAATGTTAAACTTTGATTTTTTTTCTTCTGATTTTGGTGTCTCAAATTCCTCTTCTAAATGTTGATATGTGGGATAAGACAGATTCTTCAGTGAAGCGCCACAATGTGCATTCTGTATCATCTAAGAATAGCATACGTTTTTAAGAGGCTCAATATCAAATGCTCAAATAATTGGATTATTTATTTCATACTTCCGCCTCGTTAAATCAAAAGTAAATTTAAACACTACCTATAAACATATATTGTATACTTTAGTATCTAATTACAAAATTATTTTGAATATTTTTGCTTTAATTTATGTCTCATGTCACTTTTAAAATATCAAAAGCAAAATGACAGTATTTTTCACCCAATTGATATTCGCCTGAAATATTACAGTTTGGCTTCTTATTTTATAGGCAAATTATAATGTGCTTTATCTTTGCGATTTGTACTCTTCAGTATTCTTCAGTTATTAGATTCCATGCACATCTCTCTTATTCCTATATACATCTTTCTCTATATATATATATATATATGTGTGTGTGTGTGTGTGTGTGTGTGTGTGTATATATATATATATATATATATATATATATATATATATATATGAAGACATGTCTCATTGAATAATTTAGATAAGTTTTGTCTATTTATTTTCAATGGGATCCTCTCATATTCACGGACAAGATTCTTGGTATCCTTATTTAAGGAAGAGAGAAAATTACCATGTTGATACATATTCATATAGTTTTGGACACAAAGATTTCATATGTATACGTGTGTGTGTGTGTGTGTGTGTGTGTGTGTGTGTGTGTGTGTGTCTGTCTGTCTGTGTCTGTGTTTTTGAGAGAGAGATAGAGACAGTGTGTCGTGTTGTAGATTGAGAATTTCTCGTGCTTTCACACTCCTTTTACTCTTTCTAGCACTCTCTCTCTCTCTCTCTCTCTCTCTCACTCATACTAACATGCACTTATATGTCAACACACGCACACGCACACACAGAGACACACACGCACACACAGGTCAAAGTCTCTAGACAAGGAAATGCATGCATAATAATAAGATGACGTATATGAACGTGTTCTTTTTTATGGCATTTAAAATCCCAGCTTGTGTCTACTTTCAGATTCATTTCCTACGATTGGTCCCCGTGCAGCGCCACCTATGGAACAGGAGTGAAAACACGGCGGGTCACGTGCAATGTCTTGCTTCAGTTTGTCAATGAAGTCACTGAGGTTCCCGAGAGGGAATGCATCGGTTTGTATAATATCTTTGTAACCGTTCTCTCATGAATGATTTCCTAGTAGCACAATCCATATTTCTCTCTTTCTCATCACGCACGCACGCACGCACATACATATATATATATATATATATATATATATATATATATATATATATATATATATATATATGCGTGTGTGAGAGAGTATATGTATATACAAGCCTGTTACGCCGTCTCACAGCTTATCAGTATGGCTAGACATCCTGTTGCTTCAAGTCGGGATTGAAACTCAACCGATTTGGCAGCAGTCAGAGACTCTACCTTTAAGCTACCAGCGCACAGAGAAAAGGCGTTTTTAATGTATTATATGCGTGATGTATATAAATGCCAAATCAGCAGCCTGAGTGCTCAATTCATAACTGAAGAGTGATGCGTTATAAGCAGGAGCAGCCACTGTTTTTAAATTCCCTTTCCTCATAGTGTTCAGTCGGCGAATGAGAGGAAGATTACACTGATGTTCACCCTGTGCAAGTCCCACGAGCTACTTGAGGGTAACAGCGTAAGAAGTAATAGGAACAGTTTATGAGGATATGTATGTAAAGATAACGGCTGACCTTAGACTTGAACAGGTTAAGAGTGTAGTGATGGAGAAAGAATCCTCTGAGAATCGGTTCCACAAAGTAACGGTTCATGAGAAGAAACAGTTAGAGTGGAACTTACATGTGCCCAATGGAATACGAAGGGAATGAAGGTGGTTCACTACAATGGGCGTGGCATGGTGTGTCTTACCTGTGAGCGTTAGATCTGGTGGAGCAAAGGAACAGCGATAGAGTAGCAAGATACTAGCAGCGTTTCGTCTGGGGGAAAGTGATTCTTGGGTGAAAAATAATTCATCACCTAGATGGTCACGTAAACGCTTTTGAACTCTGTCAAGACTGGAAAACGAAGACTTTCATAGATAGATAGATAGATAGATAGATAGATAGATACACACACATGAACAGAGTAGATAGATGGATTGATACATACATATGAATAGACTAGTTAGATGGATTGATTGAGACACCCATATGAACAGACTAGTTAAATAGATAAACAGATGAGATAGATACATACATGTAAACAGACTAGATAGATAGATAGATAGATAGATAGATAGATAGATAGATATGAACAACTGGGATAGATAGATATAGATAGATAGATAGATAGATAGATAGATAGATAGATAGATAGATAGATAGATAGATATGAACAGACTGGGATAGATAGATAGATATGAACAGACTGGGATAGATAGATAGATAGATAGATAGATAGATAGATAGATAGATAGATAGATAGATATGAACAGACTGGGATAGATAGATAGATAGATAGATAGATAGATAGATAGATAGATAGATAGATAGATAGATAGATATGAACAGACTGGGATAGATAGATAGATAGATAGATATGAACAGACTGGGATAGATAGATAGATAGATAGATAGATAGATAGATAGATAGATAGATATGAACAGACTGGGATAGATAGATAGATAGATAGATAGATAGATAGATAGATAGATAGATATGAACAGACTGGGATAGATAGATAGATAGATAGATAGATAGATAGATAGATAGATAGATAGATAGCATAAATGCATATATACATAGAAGGAAATATACTGGGATTGATACACACATAAGAACGGACTGGTTAAATTGATAAATAACAGATGGGATAGATATACACATATAAACAGACATAGTGTGAACATAAGAATCAACATTGCGTGGTGACTGTCAGTTTCACGTTAGAATTTATTTTGCATTGCAGCTTGAAATTGGCAATCGCCATGCAGTGTTTTTTCCTATGTCCACACTGTCTCTATATATAAACACTCTGTGATATTGAGCTCTCGTTCACTATAAATAAAGTAAATTTTAACAATAGTTAATTAATTAATAAATGTTCAATCTATTGATCAATCTGAACAGATTTTAGCACAGAACGCATTTCAAATTTGAAATTTGGAGTCTAATAAATGCGTTTGCCTTGATTTGATATCTGGTAATAATTCAATAGACTTATAGGAGCCGGTGAAACCGATGAGTCTTGTTACGCGAAAATCTGGTTTCGGTCAAGGGATAAGTCGCTTGAGCCTTTATTAATTAATTAACTATTGTCTGTCACTCTAGTTATCAATTGAGAACTTTCTTGACATGAATACTTGTGGCGTTAAAAAATTTGAACTCTAGTGACCTTTGCGTATTTTGAGTGGTGTTATTGATTTTCATTCTTGTTAATAGATAGATAGATAGATAGATAGATAGATAGATAGATAGATACCAATCTATCTAAGCCTGTTCATTATCAGTCTATCTGAGCCTGTTCATAATCTAGCTCAACCTGTACATAATCTATCATCTAGCTCTATTCATAACATTGAGTGGTGTTATTGATTTTCATTCTTGTTAATAGATAGATAGATAGATAGATAGATTGTGGAAATATGAATCAATCATGCATGGTGACCGTCGCTTTCACACCATAAACGGTCTTCAGAACTACTCCTTTAGCAGGTTCTATATATAGATTACTGGGCGAGGAAGGGCGGTGGAGATAGTGGAATCCGGTAGTTTCTAGATCTTTTGTTTAGAGATAATACTTTGGAATATTTATGGCCATGACCTTTAAAAAAAACATAATGATAATAACAGCAAAAAAATTGCAATATGAGCACTGGTAAAAAATGATGATGAAGACATTAGGTTTATAATACCCAGAAATTCATAAACAGATGTCCTCAAGGACACATCCTCAAGGACACATGGCACAGTGGATAAATGCGTTAGTTAGACCCAAAGAGTGTGAGTTCAATATCTGGTTAAGGCGGTGGGAATTAAGCAGGGGATAACTGATAACTGACATCCATCAAACATGGCATGTGGAACTAGAACAGTCTACCACAGTTCGACATTCCAACCACCGGAGCGTACAACGGCCGAAACGTTGTAATAAATATGACAATAGTCCGAATAATATAAATCAATAAAAATAAATAGGGTATATAAATGAATAAAATAATTATATATGTGTGTGTGCGTGTGTGTGTGAACGGAACAATCTTCAGGTAATGACTAAATAACCGAGAAATCTTCAGGTAATGACTAAATAACCGAGATAACAAATATGGCGCCAGTTTGTTTACATTGCGCAGATCAGTACAAAAATTTCAATGATTGCGCAGGTTAGTGTTGCCAACATTGTGCAAAAACTTTGTGTGAATTGATTGGACGGTTTTTGAAATATAAGAAAAAAGTTATCTCGCAGTTTAGATATGACTACGCATGACATTTTAAACTGATGTTTTTAAAATATGTGTTTGGGTATATAGTCTTGTCACTTTCATTCAAACATCACTTTAGTCCGATGAAGTCCTAGAGTCCTTGCACGATACAGTGAACTATCTTTCCTAGCAGTAGAGTTAGCAATTGATTCGATATAATGCTCCCACTTCATGTCAGCGGGAACGTTACTCCGAGAAGGCGTATGAGTCGCTCTCCTGGAGGTTAGCATTAGCCATACTGATGGAAAGTAAAAAATGTGTTCTCTCAGACGATTACAAAAGAGCTGCTTCGTTTTGCAGGCGTTAAACTTAACAAGCCACACCTTGCTTTAGTTAACAACAGAAATAGATCGTTCTTTAGATAAGGTGCTAAGTTCATCTTATCGAACCGTTTAGACTTACTTTTAACACAGGGATAAATGGGGTATCAGCCCACGTACCGAGTTGAGAAGAAAAATCATCATTTTTTTATCTATTTTTCTTGTGTGCTTATAGACTTTCTTTTATGTAATTATTACAACTATACTAGACAGTATACAATAGAAACACAAATATATACTAACAATGAAAATTGCCTCTCCTTACTCCGCTTTAAAATGGTTAAAGAATTAAGCAAAAGTGATAGGGACAACAATCACTACGTTCCTTTCGTAGAGACAATAATCACTACGTTCCTTTCCTAGAGACAATAATCACTACCTTCCTTTCCTAGAGACAATAATCACTACCTTCCTTTCCCAGAAACAATAATCACTACCTTCCTTTCCTAGAGACAATAATCACTACGTTCCTTTCCCAGAGACAATAATCACTGCCTTCCTTTCCCAGAGACAATAATCACTACGTTCCTTTCCTAGAGACAATAATCACTACTATCCTTTCCCAGAGACAATAATCACTACGTTCCTTTCCCAGAGACAATAATCACTACCTTCCTTTCCTAGAGACAATAATCACTACTATCCTTTCCCAGAGACAATAATCACTACCTTCCTTTCCTAGAGACAATAATCACTACGTTCCTTTCCCAGAGACAATAATCACTGCCTTCCTTTCCCAGAGACAATAATCACTACGTTCCTTTCCTAGAGACAATAATCACTACTATCCTTTCCCAGAGACAATAATCACTACTATCCTTTCCCAGAGACAATAATCACTGCCTTCCTTTCCCAGAGACAATAATCACTACGTTCCTTTCCTAGAAACAATAATCACTACGTTCCTTTCCTAGAAACACCTAATTCTCTTAAAACGGAAACTGTAAGAACACTAAAAAACTAAATCAAACACTTTCTACACGTTCAATGAAACATGTATGAAAAAGGGTTTGCTACCTGATAGATTTGTGTTTGCGTAAGTGTGTGCGTAAAAAATCTATTTTAGCATACGAAAGACAGATGGCAATCCTCAACTAGAAACCGTTCAGCATACATACATGCATACATACATGCATACATACATGCATACACAGCCATACAGAAAAAATGGTCACCTGTCACATCTGTGATATCACTCTTTCATTTTGTCGTGTTTTTGGCACAACACTTCTGTAATCGGAAAGCCTTGTATTGTTACTTGCTTTAAAATATATTTACGTATAAGTTCTCTGTATTTACGCTTGGGATTTAATTGCAGAAAAAGTTTGAAGGAAAAAAAATATTTGCCAAAAATCGTGCGTCAAGCAGAGAAATGTGAAGTCAAAATGAGGTGTTGAAATGTTAGAATGCGAAAACCACTCTTTCCCTCTCCACTCTCTCTCTCTCTTTTCTCCTTTTTCTCATTATTTTTTTTTCCTTTACTCTCACCCTATTTCTCTCTCACCCTATTTATCTATCTCTTTTTTTCTCTCTGTTGTCCATGCGTATTTTTAATCATTATTTATCTTTCGTCTTTTTTTGTTTTTCTTTCTCTGTTCTTTGTTTTTCTTTCTTATTTTTCTTTACCTTTAAGTACTTAATGTTTTTATGTTCGTTCTTATCGTTTTCCTTCAATTAAACATTCAGCCGACTAAATTGCCTCTAATTTTCTACTACAAAAGAGAGGAGTCAAAGCACTGGAGTACATTGGATTCCTTACAAATCTTTTCATTGATTCTTTCTTGCGTTCGTTCGTTCGTTCTTTCTTCTTTCTTTCATTCTTTCTTTTTGACACTCCTTTTTCTTATCTCTCTATATCTTTATCTTCATCTTCTATCGCTCTACACCTTTCTCTCCTTCTCTCTCATTCTATCTCTCTATCACTCTATCTCTCTATCTATCTATCTCATTTTGCTATCGTTTCTCAAGTCCTCTATATTCTGTTTCTCTCTACGACTTCTCCGCTTATCTGCTTTGCTTTTTCCTTCTTTCTCCCTCACTCTTGGTTCACCCATATCTCTTCCATTGACATTCTACCTTATTTTCGTCGTATCTCCCTCCCTTTCTATCCTACCACTTTACCCCTATGTCTATTAGTTTCTATCTCCCTCTCTAATTCACTTCCTCCTGTCTTTATGCCCTCCCTTCCACTCTTATTCTGCCTTATCATCGCCTCTCCCACCCTCAACTCTCACGCCATCCAACCTCTCTCTCTCTCTCTCTCTCTCTCTCTCTCTCTCTGTCCGTGTCTTTCTATAAATCTCTCCTTCTCTAATTCATTTTCTCTTGACTTTATAGTCCCTCTTTCTTTCATTCAGTGTTATTTTATTACCTCCTCCCAATCTCTCTCCTCCAACTTCTCAATCTCTCTCTCTTTCTCTCTCTCTCTCTCCCTATCTCTTTCTATCTATCTATCTATCTATCTATCTTTTGATCTCTCTAATCAACTTCCTATTGTCTTTATGCGCTTTCTTCTACAAGGAATAAACTATCAATACTGGAAAGAGCTATAATAGTTAGTGGACTTGAAAAATAGTTTTAATAGAAAGATTTTATAAAATTATTATTATTATTATAAAATTATTATCATTATATTTATCTATCACTAGCTGCTCAGTTAATGGATACTGAATGTTTCCTTATAAGGAAACGGCTAAACTACCGTTATCATTATTATTAATTATTTTCTGTCGTTCTCTTTTTCAACTCTCCCTTTTTTATTTCTTTTCCTCTTCTTAATTAGAACACATTAGCCTCTTCTCGCCACGTACTGCTCATATACCCTCTTCTCTCTCTTTCAGTCTCTTTCTCTTTCTCTCACCCCTCTCGCTCTGTAAAGAAAACGCAAATGTTTTATAAGATAATATTATGAACTCTTTGCTTTTCTTTTTCTCTTTGTCTTCTTCGGCATTCTTTTCTTTCTCCCAACTCTCAAATTCTTTAGTCTCTCCTCTCTCTCTCTCTCTCTCTCTCTCTCTCTCTCTCTATCTATATATATATATATATATATATATATATATATATATATATATATATATATCCCTCCCTTTGTGCTCAACTTCACCCTCCACAACCTTTCTATCTGGACAATTGACTGTGCCCAAATAAAATGCAGTTCTCTAATTGGCTGCGGGGTGACGAGAGAAACAGACTCTACAAGTGTTAACATATGTTGGCGATTCGAATGCACAATAATAGTGTTCACCGAACTTTTATTGCCTACTTTAATTCCTCTTATGAAAAATAACGTGCTTCACACAAAGAGCGATATGAGAAAAGCAAGAGAGAATTCTCTCTTTTTTTTTTTTTTCATTCAATCCGACGTTCGGCTGAAAAGTTCTCAGCCTATCTCACTTCCATAAATCTGACCAAAATGGCCAAACATCTTTCTTTTCCTTTTTTGGTGAGGAAGGGCTTCTTGATCGCAGAGAACGTTTTCGCACCCACACATCGTATATTCTTAACCCCTTTCGATTCTTTCACATTGTTCTCTTTCTCTTCGGTATTATTTTCATCAGCATCATCATCTTTCTTTCTTACTGTCTTTACTTCTTTTCTTTCCTTCTTTCTTTACTTCTTTTCTTTCCTTCTTTCTTTACTTCTTTTCTTTCTTTCTTTAAGAAAGAATGAAGGAAAGAAAAGTCAAGAATGAAAGACGGAAATTCTTTCCTTCTTTCATTCTTGACTTCTTTTCTTTCCTTCTTTATTTACTTTTGCTCTTTTTCTTTACTTTTTCTTTCCTTCTTTCTTAAATTCTTTCTTTCTTTTCTTTCCTTCCTTACTTTTTTCTTTACTTCTCTTTACTTTCTTTCGTTACTTCTTTTCGTTTTCTTTCTTTACAACTTTTTTTCCTTCCTTAGTTCTTTCTTTACTTTTCTTTTTTACTTTTTACTTTTTTCTTTTCTTTCCTTCTTTCTCTCTTTACTTTTTCTTTCTTTACTTTCTTTTTTCTTTCGTTTTTTCTTTTCTTCTTTCTTTGCTTCTTTTCTTGCCTTCTTTGCTTCTTTTCTTGCCTTCTTTCTTTCTTTCTTTCTTTACTTCTTTTCTTTCTTTACCTTTTCATTCCTTCTCTCCAAATTGATCAGCGCGGCTTCTTCGTCGTCTTTTACACCCTCTATGATTGTGCGGATCAGATGCAGGTTGCTCTGAATTGTTCGACTCCTCACAGAACAAGTCTGCTCAGGTCCCAACAGAGACTCGGCAACTGACTGCAAACGCTCCTGCAGGATCTTGGCCATAATCTTTAACTCTGTGTTTAGCAGAGTTATGAGCCTGTAATCATCTAGGTTCCTCCCACCACATTTGCCCTTTTTCAACAGAGTGATCACACCCCTGGTGATCCGGTTGGGGATGGTCCCCGACCGAAACCAGTTGTTGAACACTGCAGTCAAAATTGGAACAAAGATGTGCGACAGCCTCAAGTACAATTCATGGGGCAAACCATCCAGACCGGGCGACTTGCCTCGGTCGATCTTCTTCAAAACCGCGTAGACTTCGCCCTCCGTAATATCTCCCTCGCAGCTAGCCGCTTCAGTCGGCGAAAGCCGAGGAAAGTCAGCCAAATAGCTACGAAACTCCTCCTCACGGAGACCAGGCTCCTTGGCAAACCGGTTCTCGAAATGGCGCCGAAACGCTCCGCACATGTCGTCAGTGGCCCGAAGAGTACGCCCCTCCGGGGATTTGACTTCACGAAGGTAACGATCGCCACCTCGACGGACCTCTTCCCTGCGCAGATCTGCGCCCAAGTTCACTGCTTCGGAAGACATCTTGCTTAACTTATGTCTAATTACCTGACCCATGTACCGCTCGTTATTCGATCGATCCAGGGCCTCCTTAGCTAAGGTTATCTCTAGGGGACCCCCCCCCCCCAGCCACCGCCCGGGAATAACTAGCTTTAAGCGTCTTCACCTTTTCAGCTCTATCTAGAGCGAGCCGTTTGTGAAATCAGTGGTGCAGGACCTAATCCTACATTTAAGGCGTTCCCACCATCTATTCCCGATAACCGCCCCCACTAGCTCCCGCTGCACTAGTCTAATTATCTGCTCCTGGAAGTCCCGCCTGTCCAGTAAAGACAGATTGAACTTCCAGTACCCAGCCATTCTAGGCCTATTGTCTAACGCTACCCGTGCACAAACGAGTTTGTGATCCGAATAGCCTACCCAGTTGAACGTAGGGCAATCTAGTAGTTCTATGTCGGCTCTTCTCACTAACATTCTGTCAAGGTAGCTAACCACCTTGTCAAAAGGCCAATTAAGAGCCCACGTCCACATTTTTCCCTCGGGATGATCGACCCGGTATCTATCGACGAGACCATAATTGTCGATCAGATCGACCAGGCTGCGATCGCCCCCTCTCCCGCTAGCACCCCGCCCCCTGTCTAACTTGGGATCCAGGATGACATTCCCTCCCCCATTAAAATTAGGCGCGTTGAATCCACCAGGAATGGCCCCAACCGCCGAAAGAACGAGACCCGTCATTGGGCGCATAAACCGCATCAAACTAATCAAAACAGAATAACTGAAATTTTTAAGATCAGCGTTCCGTTTCGCAAAACGATCACGTCGGCGATGTTGTCAAAATGTATTCCTAAAATAGAGTATATTTTAAATGAAAAAGAATTTTATTTTAATCTAAAATTTATAAGTACGTTTGTCCAGCATTAATCTTGCCAGAAAAGGGGAAATATTAAAGAAGCCGGGTCTAGTATTCACCGTGCGTGAATTATGCCTGCCTCATAAATCCGACTATGTCTATTTTATTTTCTATAAAAATTTTAAACACCTAACAATGACAACACACCAGAAATATCTAAATTACAGAGAACAAATATTATTTATGAATTCACATGTCACTTAACGAACTGCATTCCTAATCAAACCAAATTCATGAATAATTATACTGGACATACCACTACATACCTATCAAGAAGACTCACGTTACATCTCTCTGACCATAGCTCAATTAGGATTCATTTAAAGTTAGCCGGAAATCTACCAAACCTAAGCTGCAACATACTTGTAGAAAATACAAGTATAATAGCCTCATTCACATGTAATTTTTTTTAAATAATGGAAGTACTAATAATAAAAAAATAGCCAACACTAAATAACATCAAACATGAACATGGCCACAATGTGCTGACCGTGTTTGGAAAAAATTCTATAACTCTAGATAAATACATAAAAAATCCATACATTCAGTTAAAAATCATCGTTGGTAATGACTTTTAGGAATAGCAGAAACCGCTCGGATATGTAGAACATTTTGACAATTTTTACAAACATTATGTTCAGAATAGAAAACGCTTATACGAATACAAGAAAAATTAAATAAAAAGCTTAATTGCAGTACCTTTTCAGTCATCTTTAATGAAACTATATATACTTTAATTATCCACTTATAACAGAATTAATATGAGTAGATTTTAAATGTTTTAAGGTCCTTTTGCGATCTTGTACTAAGCGGTTCGAAATTGGCTAATGGGGTTAGTATGTAATCAGTCAATGATGGGAGTGGGGAACTGGAGGCGCTACCGTTAAGGAAATATGAACACTTAATTCTTACATAGAAGAAACACGCAATTCGGATCGAATTTGTTTGTATAATCCATTTTATTTCGGGTTCAGTAAGCTGGAAGATGTCGTTAATTTTTCAGTGCATATCCTGCCTACGCCATTACTTTGTTACTCACTACGAATCCACCAGTGTTTCTTGTGGCGGAATTAATAACTTCGGCAATTCCTTTTGCTAAATATCGCATTGCTAATATTCCCGGTGTCAAGTTATTAAGCTTTGCAGATATGTAGAAAAAACGAATATAAAGCCAAAAAAAGCAAAAAAGCAAAAATTATCCAGATTCTATCCCTTAATATAAGAGGAAAGAATACAAAATAACTTTCATTGTAGGTATTTACTAGACTTAGCTTCATTTGTCTCAAGACTATCATAGCGTGTCACTCAGTGAGGATCAATTTCACGACACTAGCAATGGTCTATGAAATTAGATTAATTTATTAACCATTGTTCCGCGCCAACTTTCGAAACAAATTTCTAATATTTCTTCTTTTTTTATGCGCCGTGTCAATTCAGGACGTGCGCTATCATGACTCTTCACAGCTTCCTGTTGTTTGTAGATCTTAGCCATGTTTGCCTTTTTTTCTATTGTTCTTCACCCCTGATATGACATCCGTTTTCACTAACTTGTTAGGTAGATCACTCGCTGTTTCATCTGCCGCTCTTACTTTTAATGTCTTGTGAGTGTTAAATTCTCCAAGCCCTCCTTCCTCATTATGTGTCCCAAAAATGTCAACTCTATCTGATTCTAATCATAACTTTCCTCTTTGCTTCCATTTTCCTTAAAACTTCTTTGTTGTTCACATGCACCGCCTATGGTATTCTCAGCCTTCTTCTTTTGCGTCGTCCGTGAAGAAATTGTCCAGCATTCACTGCCATATAGGAGGATTGATACTGCATAACAATTTATCAGTCTTCTTTATTTCTAACGAAAAATTTCCTGTATCTTCATACTTTATTTAACTTTTTAAAGGCATCTTTTGCTATCCCAATGCGCCTTCGCATTTCTTTCTTAATTACAACTACCAAAAATTGTGATAGAACTGACAGAATGAGAAGTTTTATGTTCTGTGTCCCTCCAGGAAGTGGGAGATCATGGGTTTCCACAACTTCCAGTCCTTTGTAGTCCTAAGCTATGCGTGTTCCTTCACTATCGGTCCAGGTCCATGTTTTGCCATCCATTTACAGAAGCTCATTAAATTTGTTAGTTTGCTGTTTCCCTCAGATTTTGTTGTTCTCAATATGCCCTGTGAGTGTCACATTCTCCAAACCCACTTTCCTCATTATGTGTCACGGAAATTTCAACTGTCTCTTTCAGATAAAAAGTTTCCTTTTGTTTCCATTTTCCTTGAAACCTTATCGCCGCTCACATGTTCCATACATGGTATTCTTAGCATCCTTCTATAGAACCACGTCTGTTGCCTGAGGTTTCTTCATCTCTGAGGGAGACGTCCAGAATTCACCATAGAGGAAAATTGATATTACTTAGCAGTTGCGCGCTCTTTTTTTTTTTTTTTTGTTGTTTATAACGAAATTTTCATGTTTTTTCATATTTTAAATATATAAAAGAAATCAAGATTTTTCAATTCTGACAGATGGCATTGGTTGAAGAATGTCTAATCAATGCTAATCTATAACAAATTATTTCAAATTTATTCTCTTTTATTTCCTAAGTAGACCAGTGTCTTACCTATTTGAGAATAGTATATTTTACTATTTTTACTCACTAATGATTCTTTTCTTTGAGGTTTGTATATCCTGTCAATGACAGCAAATAAACTCCTATCAGTGAAATATCTTTTCACCTGTACCAGGACGCTTACTTCCTTTAACATCATCTATGAATTGTTTAAATCCTTATTTAATTTGCTATTAGAGTAAGAAGACCCCGAGGAAAGAAATCCATTTTTTCCGTCATTCTAGCGCCATCATTGCTTTCACTACCCACATTAAAATCCACGAATTATCTATCGTTTTTATTGCCATATCATGAATATCCTTAGAAGGAACTGCAGCCCAGTTCTCTAATGTTGCCCGCCATATTAGATACCAAAATGTTCTTTACTGGATCCTGTTTAAATAGTACTTACTTTTGCTAGACAAAAATGACACTGCCTTGTGAAAATATTTAAAAATGGAGTTCGTTAGCAAGGCGGGAAATTAAACTGCACTATTCTTAATACAGCCTAAGTAATTACAGGATTAGTGTGTGACGTCGTATCGGTGACATTATTTTATCAACTGGTTTTTGAACAAAAAAAAATTTTTTCACGGGATATCTCGCCAGTCGGCTTCAAGTAATTAAGGAATTCCATAAACAATCATAAGAATAACCAATGTTCAGATGTCTAACAAATAGTAACAAGTGATCACTTCAAGCAAAAAAAGAAGCGTTGACCGGAACAATTTACAGAAAAGCGTCTCGGATATCCGAGTGAGCGCGCTTGTGCATGAATATTTTTTTATCTGACTTTGTTGGCTTGCATCTGTCAATACCGATATTGGATA